AGTGGAGCCTGAGTGGTGGGTGTTGTCTTCTGACACACTTCCGGTGATGTCAGGGGGTGTGGCACATGCAAATAAGTTATGCCAATGGTTTATGCTAATGAGCTCCTGCACCTCTTTTTCTACGAAACGACCCCTGCATGTACATAGCTTTCTCTTGCTGCCACAGAGTGTCTGTATATTATTCCCCCCCGCATTGTTTAAAGGAACTCTACCAGGGTCCCACTTTCTGCCTTGTGGACTGCTCCCTCCCATCCAAAGAGAAGCACTTTATTTTTGTACTACAGAAGAATGACCAGGGACGCTGATATGAAGGGGATATCTTTTTTTTCCTGTATACATGTAAATATACATATTTATGATGAGATTCAATAAAAGCTGCTTGCACAAGTCTCAAACGAAACATTATTCAGTATTCCTTTTAGAGCAGCAAATGTGGATGGCCTTATTTAAATAGCTTATCCTGAGCTGCACAGCTAAACTCCTTGGTGCCCGTGCTTTATAGTCAGAGCCAGATCTGTTTTTGGACCACTTGTTAAAATCCTCATGCAACATGGACATCGGAAAAACATGGGCTGACTAGGGAGACCTCAGCTTGCTCCAAACGGAAAACACTCCATGTAGTACAAAGCCATCTGTATCTTAGTATGAACATGATGATAGCAAGCAATCCCCTACCCTCAATAATTTGAGAGTGGGGGAATGGGGTGGAAATGGTGTTGATGGTGACACTCTAAAAATTTCATCTAGTCTCTGTGGCTTTACCATGGAGATTAGGGGAAAATCCTAGACTGTCACCTGGCAGTGACATCACTTCCTCCTGAAACTCCATCCTCCCTAGGCATTGGCCCCCAAATCTCCCAGCATTTGGCATCATACAGCTAGGAATATCGAATTAAAATAGCCACAGAATCACTGCATATTTAACTAGGCAATAATGCTTTAGTCTCTATTATAAATCCAAACATTCCATTTGGGTCAATTCACTACTTTAATGCCAGTAGCTCACAAAGTAGAATTTTTGCTCACAAGACTCCACAGCTTAGAGGGAGCATTGCTAGTGACTCCTGCTCCATGCCCAGGAGATGGCAACTGAGGACTGTGTAATCTTTAGTCGGCCAGTTAGCAGCTAACTAAAACGTAATACATAAAATGCTAATAAAAATGGTCCTCAGATCAGGGTAAAATTTGTGCACACGGTACTACTTTACACAGAGAGTGATTGAAATGTAGAATTTGCTGCCAGAGGATGTAGTGATGGCCACAGGAATAAACAGCTTTAAAGGGGGATTAGACAGATTCATGGTGGACAAGTCTATCGCTTACTAGCCATGGTGACTGAGGGGAACCTCCAAAGTCAGAGGCAGTAATCTTCTGAATCGCAGAGCCAAGAGGTAACATCAGGGGAAGGTCTTGGCCTCTATGCCCTTTTGTCAGCTGTCCAGAGGAACTGGTTGGCCACTGTGTGAGACAGGATGTTGGACTAGATGGACAGACTAGAGGAACAGACTGGAAAGGGAAACTGCTGAATTACAAGTTATTACAACACTCAGAACAACCCCCACCAGGACTTAACAGGGATATTGGTTTCTTATGTCACTACATATGCTAAATTAATTCAGTCCTTACATCTGTATTCTCACCAAGATGGGTGATACATCCTTTTTATTTTAGTGTATTTCTCATCTGGAATAGCAGATTAGTGATTGTAAGGTAATGCAATGAATTAGAATGGTGTATTGGAATGCATTCCTCTGCTCTGGTAACAGAGGAGACATAACACGGCACTACAAATCACCCCACCTAAAACAAAAAGATGCGATTCGTTACCTCCACGCTTGAGAGGAGGCGGATGGAGCATAACATCAGGGTCTCAGTTGATTGCTCTTAGCACTCCATAATTAAGGATACATTTACACATCTATCACCAATTCTGACATTTATTTGCCTCACTGTTCCCCCCGCATTAAATCTAAACAATGATGACCTTATACATTTATCCTGCTATTCCTGTTTGCATCTGTTAAAACATTTCATTCTATCGTATGCTAATTTGCTGCTCAACCTCTGCCTTATATGTCTGGACTGGTTTCATTTCACTTTGTCTGAGGAAGTGTGTGTGCACAGGAAAGCTCACGCCTTGAATAAAACTTAAAAGGTGCCACTGGACTCAGACTTTGTTCTACCTTTGTTTGTGACAGACTTCTTGGCAGGGGTCATTTCCTACAGGAGCGCACAGGAGTGGCGTTCCGGCAGTAAAGAGCCCAGGGGGGTGGGCACATGCAACAAGCCCCACCCCCTGCTCCCAGCAGCCCTCAGTCAAGCAAGAAGTAGTCAGGTAAGTTGCAGAGGCCCCCCCAGTCCAAAACAGTCCAGTGGCACCTTTAAGACCATGTTTTATTCAGGTACAAGCTCTCCCTCCTCTGTAAGGACAGATCTGCACGTTCCCCCCCCCCCAATAGCTAGCAATCCAAAACAGTCCAGTGGAGCCTGAGCGGTGGGTGTTGCCTTCTGACACACTTCCAGTGATGTCACGGGGTTTGGCATATGCAAATGAGTAATGCTAATGAGTTATGCTAATGAGCTCCTGCGCCTCTTTTTCTACGAAAGGACCCCTGCTTCTTGGGAGATTTATTGACTGCACTCAGTATCACTCTTCTACGACTGGGCAAAACTCGGCTAGGTTAACCAAACGTCCCAATAAAAGCACTTTAAGAAAAGCTCAAGAGAGAGAAGAACAGGTCAGAAGCAAAGCCTTCGAACTCCAAGAAAGAATTCGTGATTTAGAAAGAAGAAGAAGAAGAAGAGATTGGATTCATACCCCGCCCTTCACTTGGAGTCTCAGAGCGGCTTACAAACTCCTTTCCCTTCCCCTCCCCACAACAGACACCCTGTGAGGTGGGTGGGGCTGAGAGAACTCTGAGACAAACTGCTCTTTTTCAAGGACAGCTGTGCCAGAGCTTGTGACTGACCCAAGGTCACATCAGCAGGTGCAAGTGGAGGAGTGGGGAATCAAACCCGGTTCTCCCAGATTAGAGTCTGCGCACTTAACCACTACACCAAACTGGCTTTCACAAGTCTCAAACGGCATTTAGAGGAGGTGAGACAAGCAGCCCACTACCTGATGGAGCCAATCAAAGAGGGACAAATGGCACCAAGGTTGTTGTTTTCAGAGGGCAGCCCTCTGTTGGTCTGCAGTAAAAGAGCTGGATTCAAATCCTGTAGCAGCTCAGAGACTAACGATCCTTTAAAATAGTAAGTTCATTTCAAAAGGAATCCTGTCAAACAGAGCTCGGCCTGAAGTGTAGAAGAGGTACTATTAGAGTTATTCATAATCTCACTCCCTGAAATTTTGTGGTTGGCAGCTCTACTTCCGGAGGTAGCCATTTTGCATTTGTTCCCACCACCCCAAAGGCACCTACAGGTTTAAAAAGTTTGGGGGACCCCCGCTCTCAGGTTATCAACAGAAAATTGCAGATGCAACACAGTTGCCAATAGTTATAATTTCATCCTAAAACAGGGTTGCGAAGCTAAGCCTGGCAACAGGTCAGATGGTGTGGGTGCAGAGAAATAATGTGGGGCAGCACAGTTGCAAGTGTGACTATGTCACTTCCAGGTACAACACAGAAGTGACAATGGGTAGCTCTAGAAATCACCGGAAACTCTATGATTTACCATAGAGTTTTACCATAGGGTTTCCAGCGATTCCTAGGGCTAACAGTGTTGTGTATCAATTTTAAGACGCAGTGGACTACAGGAACTCAGGTCGGGGAATGCCCTGCCCTGACTGGGGGCCTGGCAGTGGTATAATAAGACAGCGCTCAGGAAGTCTCTGGAAGAACATTTTCTCCCTCCGCTAGCATAGAAACAATAACTATGGAGAGT